CTCACTGGAACCTTACTGGAGTCGACCGGACGCTGGCCCTCAGTGTCCGGTCACTTGACCTCTCCAGCGTCCGGTCAAACCGGACTAGTTCACCTCAGTCAAATGAACTGACCGGACCCTGTGGCCAGCGTCCGGTCGCACCGGAGCCAGCGTCCGGTCAGTCTTTGACCCTCCATTCACTTTCAACTCTCAATCATATGTGAATGAAGTTTGCTCCAAAGGATCTTAGGCATATTTAGGAGCTTCCTAGTGCTAGTTTTAACAAGTGTGCACCACACCTAACTCACTAGACTCACCTAGGTCAAGCTACCCGTCCATACCCCCCTTAATAGTATGGCCAAAGGAAAAACAAAGTCCTAAACTACTCTAAGTGTCTCTCCAACTCCAATCAACACTTAGAACTAGTCAACCTTAACCTTGTCGTCCATCCTTTAAAACTGAAATGATTTCCATCGTTGGGGCATGACATCCACGATTGCCCAATCGATCTCCATTACCATGACCTAACTTAATTGCCTCTGCAAAACACACGTTAGTCACAGTAATCTTGTATTGTCATTAATCACCGAAACCCAATTAGGGGCCTAGATGCTTTCAGGAAATATTGAAGACATACCTGACTGCCTTAGAAGAATCTAATGCAGGAAATTCCATCTCATCCAGAGATTCGTACTCCACCAATATATTAAAAACTTTAACTTTAGCAAGAACAAGGTTTTTTTTGCTTCCCCATCAAAATTAAAAAGTGGCCCGCCTTCGCAAACCTAGCAACAAACAGAAGAAAAGAATTACAGGCAACCCTTTGTTACATTGATAAAAAAGTGAACAAGAGGTAAGTGGGACAGACATCACTTTGTTATCTCAGATACACTTTACTGCATATAATAACAAAAATAGATTAAAATACTCATTTTAAAATGCAGATGTACCTTAGGCCTACTTTGGCAGCCCGTTTCCCCGAGGGGATCCCCGCGTTTTCCCTGGGCTAGTCTCCCCGTGCCAATCTCCCCGACCAAATTTTTGCGCACTTTGGCGGCCCACCCACCCGAGGGTCGCAGCTCGCTTCCCTTCTTTTTCCACACGGAAGGAATCCACGACTCGTGAGGCCGGGAGGGTTTCCCCGTGGCGACCGCTCGCGAGCCACGTAGCTTCCTCCGCTCGCGTAGGTCTTCTCTTCGCGAGGCCGTCGCCGCCCCGGCATCCCGTCGACGCCACCCCGGCATCCCATCGACGCCGCCTCGGCAGTCCGTCACCCCTGCCACTCCGCCTTCTCATCGCTTCGGTCATGCCAACGGTGAGACCGCCTCATCCTACATCTTTGTGCCTCCCGCTAGGGGTTTCGGATTTCTTGATCCGCTCTTCTCATAGACTGTCCCACTAGGGCGGTGAGGTGGCCGTGGCTGATTAGGGTTTCGGCGCCGAGCAACATGACATGGGAACCGGAAGCTGGGCGCTCTAGGGAGCAGGGTGCGAGATTTGAGGGCGCTCGTCACCTCTGTGCTTTCTGCTGTTGCTTCGGTAAGGATTCCGCATACTCCCTCTCTGGGTATTTTATTTTTGTGCATTTGTATTGCGGGATTGGTTAGTGTCAGCATGAGATGGCAGTTGCTATGGAGGGGAGATTGTAATTGCTGTGGGGAGGAGGGATATAATATATTAGCCTAGTAGATAAATTAGCCTAGCATGGAGCTGTTGAATTATACATTGGATGTTCTTTCTTGCCTGCTGGAGCTCTTGCGACAAAATATATGTTGCTATTTAAATTGCATTCACTCCTGACTCAGAGTTACTTGAATAGATGTTCCTAAGTCCTGACCACTTTAGGTTTGTCCTAAATTAAACTTCTTTATATTTAACAAAGTTTATTGAAAAAATACACTTGCATCTATAATATTGATTTTCACCATTAATTATGTCTTGATAGTGGTGCATTTATTTGGTGCTCTAGATGTTAATATATTTTTTCTAAAAACTAAGCTAGGCAAATTTGACCCTATGGTTTGCAAAAGAGGGAGTAGCGCAATTAAACCTGCAAAGCCAACACCGTACCTAGGTTCTAAATCAGAAGGATCTGAAGGATTATTGTCTACTTTGTGCCATGATTGTTAACTTTTACTCTCGCTGACACTGGTGTGCTGGTACTAAGTTGGAAGCGTAATTAGATCGGTTGCCAAAGTCAGCAAATTCATTACGACTCTTGGTTATGATTTTCTCTAGCACCTACTGGTGCAGCGTTTCTGCTTTTCTGATGAAGCTAGGCTCAAAACCTTGCATTGAGGTGCACATAGCTCAGTTCTCAAGTGCATACAACTCTAGCTGATTCGTTGGGGTACATGAACATAAACCAAAGTTGCAATGTAGGATGATGCCTTTAGCCCGGCACCATCCTCGTCTAAAATATGATGATAGTATTATCTGAAAGCGGTTCGTCTCTCTCAGATGAATGCATGATAGGTCTCTTGCCTACTCTAAGCACGAGATCTTAAGCAGAGTGTGCCTTTTTAATTTGATGGCGCGTGGGATCTTAAGCGAGTTTGTTTTTAATTCGAAGTGGCGTCCATACTCATCAATCACTCAATCTAATAATTTGCGTGCTAAATCTCGGACAAGTGCTTGCTAAATCTCTCTCGACTAATAAGGGCATGATGCTTTTTGCAGGAGTGATTTTCTGCTTTGCATCTTGGGGACGGGTGATTGGTGTCAAGTTAGTCCCCCACTATTGCCTCTTTGCATCTATTGTTTTTGCTGCTGTCTTTGGTGTACAATGATTCCTACTTGCATTAGAACTAATGAAATTTCTGGATACTCTTCCTGGATTTCTCACTAGCGCTTTTTTTTCCGCTTTCTAGTCTATCTGTATGGTCGTGATCTTGAAGTGTTCCTCTCATTGTATTGTTCTCTTTAGCATTTTTGAGTAATAAGTTAAAAAGATTAATGCAAGTTTTTTCATGAGATGGTCTCGAGAAAAATCTAAGCTTTCCTCACAATAGCTCTAGGTTGTTAGCTTATGATGCCCCTAACTTTTATTTTAGGGCATATATGAAACTTCACTCTGAAATAATCATAACCAAGTTATGAAATAATCATAACTTTTATTTTTTTAGTTAAAAAAATGAATGCATGCATACATGCCCTGGATGAGTAGGTGTCTTTGTAAGTGTCTTTGCTGGAATGGGTGTGGCCTCCCTTTTCCTCTCCTTTCTTCTTCCTCAAGCTGCACCACCATTTCCCTTCCTTCACCCCCACCCTCTCAAACCTCGCTTTCCCCTACACAAATCAAAGGAACACGGAGGGGAGACCTCTCCGGCCTAGTTGTACTTTCACACTTGAAATCTTTGCATATCTATGTTGGATAGGTTCCTAGGGTTTCATGGTATAAGGCTACACCAATTCCTAAATCTCTAGGTCCCTAATCAACTAAGGTATTTGATGTCATCCACAGCACAAATTAGGTTTGATTTGTTAGTACCCTCTGTTTTTGAAAGATGAATGACATGTGGCATATAGCAAAGTGGCAAAGAGAGGGCACTACAAAGATGGTTGTTTGTACAAGGCATTTAAAAATGCCTTTAAAAGTGGCCAAAATGCCTTCAAAAACCTTTTTAGGCATACATGAAAATGTCTGCTATAAACCGGACTCAAAAGGTCTTTTGAGGCATTTTTTCAAAACGCCTTTCAATATTAACATATAAAGGCATATCAAGTTTTCAGAGATGTTTAAAGTTTTCCCTATAGATCAAGTTTCCAATACATCTACTGTTTAACTGTGATAGTACTGCTAACTATAACTAGTTCATATCCGTTTCTGTGATTAATTCAGTACATTTTCAAAATGGACCTCCAAGCAATTGCACCGCCCAAATGCCTACTCTCCCGCCAAGACACCTCCGACTTGTTGCCTCTTCCAATTTTTGCATCGCCCAAATGCCTCTATTTGTTCTAATTTGTGTGGCAGGCACATATATAGATGCATTTTTTAGTCCTGTTCTAAAAAAATGAATGCATACATGCCTGGATGAGTAGGTGTTGATGTAAGTGCTGCCTGGATGATTAGGTGCTGCTGTAGAGTGCTATAAATATGATTAGGTGCTGTTGTAGAATGTTATAGAAAATGATTAGGTACTTCTGACTTTTTTAGACTTTTAATACTTGTTTTCTCTACTTTTAATACTTGTTTTCTCAACTTTTTTAGACTTTTAATACTTTGCATCTGCCCTTCTAATACTTGCTTTCTCTACTTTGAGTGCTCTCCTTTTCTCTAGTTGATTTGAATTGGTAATATATATGTAATAATATAATTTCATATATGTAACACTAGATGGCTTCTTGGGAAGAGCTTGCTAGGAATTTTTTGTTGGAAGAGGAAGAAGAAGATGAGGAGCTATTCTTTTTCTTCTCCTCTTTGTAATGCCCTTTCTCGATTTAAGAGAAAACACTGAGCATACCTCTTCTCTCCCGGTGCTAAAAAGGTTAAAGAGATCCTCGAAGGACACGAGAATTGGTGCAAGGAAGAATTTAGGATGGAGGCTGAAATATTTAGAACTATAGCAAACTTTCTCAGGGGCGAGAACTTGCTGCGTGACACACGTGGTATGAAGATTGAGGAGCAACTTGGTCTTTTATGTTCATGCTCTCTCATAATGCAAGCACAGAGAGGCTAAAGGAGTTTCAACATAGTGGTGAGACAGTGCATAGGAAAATATATGATGTCTTCAATATCATTCCAACATTAACCCAAAAAATCATCAAACTTCCGAATCCAAGCCACACACACATGAAGATTACATGTGACCCTAGATTTATGCCATTCTTTTAGGTCGGTTAATACATACAGTATACTTTCCTTAATACCATTCCTAAATACAATCCAAATCTTAAGTAAATTTTCTTACCTGCAGAACTGCATCGGCGCTATCGATGGTACGCATGTCCCAATCACAATTGGACAAGACAAGGCCAGTCCCTATAGAAATAGGAAGGGGACACTATCGCAGAATGTTATGTTTGCCTGTGACTTCGACTTGAAGTTCACTTTCATCTCATCTGGTTGGGAAGGATCCGCATCTGATGCAGGAGTGTTGCGGTCTGCTCTTGGCAAGGGATTTACTGTGCCAGCAGGCAAATTCTATCTTGTAGATGGTGGATATGCAAACACACCATCATTCCTTGCTCCCTACCGAGGAGTTAAGTATCATCTCAGTGAGTTCAGGAGACGTGGCCAGAGGAGAAATGCATATGCCAACTACAAGGAATTGTTCAATCATCGGCATGCGATTCTTCGAAATCACATTGAGAGGGCCTTTGGGGTTCTCAAAAAGCGGTTTCCAATTCTGAAAGTGGGGACACATTACCCAATTGAATCTCAAGTTATGATTCCAGCATCTGCTGCTGTGTTTCACAACATCATTAGAGGGTTGAATGGGAGTGAAGAGTGGCTAGACATCCTACCTGATAATATCAACCCATCAAATTATGTCGACATGCCAGAGGGAGACACTAACTAGCCAAGTGAGATGGAATCAAACCATAGAAATACCCTACGAGACCAGATAGCCCATCAGATGTGGGCTGCCTACAATGTGTAGGATAGTAGTGTTTGGAATGTAATTTATGAGTTATGAGTTATGAGTTATGTATTTCTGTAATACATTATGTGATGCAACATTCTGTAATAAATTCTCCAATATATTCTATAATATGTTATGAGTTATGTATTTCTGTGTGATGCAATATTCTGTAATAAATTCTCCAATACATTCTATAATATTTTATGAGTTATGTATTTCTGTAATTATTTCTTGTAGCAATGTCGAAGGCAAGGGCTACATGGAACTCTAGATATGAGAAAGGGCTTGTTGACATTATGAGGGACCATGTGAACATCCCCTTGTTCAGGGGTCAGAATGGATGAAGTGGAGAGGGTTGGAGAAGTATCTCAGAGAAGTTTACCCAAATGTATCCTTTAGCATGCTTCACAAAGCAGCAGCTACAAGAGAAGGAAAAGGAGCTAAAGGGCAGCTGGAAGGCAATACATGTAGCGTTAAAGGATAGTGGTGTTGGTTGGAATGACTCATTGGCCATGGTCATTGCGGAACCGGAAAAATGGAAGAAACTGATCAATGTAAGATTTTTTTCACTGAACCAAAAAATTGTTGCCATATTCTGGTTGCAAGTACTAACTATGCTGTTGTCTTGGTATTAAATAGGATAATGGAAAAATGGCTAGGTTCCAGAAGAAGCCGTTTCCTTTATATGAAGACTGTACGTCATTGTATGCTGGTATGTTATTTGAAACTTCTCTCTAAGGTTATATCAGCATTTGCATAACCAGTATATCAGAAACAACCAACTCATTTCCTTGAACCAAATCATCACCTTGGCAAATCAGCAGTAGGTAGTCCACAGCCCTCTGTCCAGATCACCACAATAATCACACAAGTGCTCTAATAATTACCACAAATAAGTTACAAGTACCATAAACGAGTCCTGAGTGTGCTACTGCTAGAACTACTTTTGATAATCTGTATATGCGACTGCAGCAAAATGAATAGAATTGCTACTGTCGTACTAGGAGCTGCAGCTGGCTAGGCTTTTTACAGTAATGCTTCAATCAGAGAGTGTTCAAGCAACACTTACAGTAATGTTTGTCTTTTTTATTAAAAAAACATAGATTGTGCTTTTTAGTGTTTCTAGTCCTAAAGGATTTGAAGAAAATGTATCTTTTCGTTAATATCCACCCCTTATTACAAAACCCTATCTTAACTGTTTTTTCTTATTAATCATGAGGAGGGCTTTCTCTCTTTCCATCATTCTTCATCTCACGTTGAGCTCTTCACAATGTCTATTTCCGTCAATCCTTGATATCACGTTTACTGTGCATTGAGCTATTCGCAATGTCTGTTCCCATCAGTCCTTTATTTCCCGTTTACTGTACATTGAGCTATTCACAATGTATACATGGGGTTGGAGCAAAGAATTATGATGCCTTGCAGTAAACCTGGTGAAATATGAAAGTATACCATTTAGTGGTTAAAGTGTAACAACACTTCTTAAAAAAAGAGTAATGTCAATTGTCAATTTAGTAGACTATTCCTGCATCACAAAAGAAAAGGGTAACAGGATTACTGGCAAGTCAAAACATGAAGTTTGAGAGGGTAGAATTGTTAAGGATATCAATCTATAAACTCTGGATGAGGACCATACAAGAAGTTACTAGGAAATGAAGTGAAATGAAAAATAATTACGGACATATACTGTGATTTCTCATGGCAGGAGCAAGTTATCTTATTTCAAGAATGATAACCAATTGAAAAATTATCAAGACAGAATAGGAACAGGTTCATACCTGCAGTGCCACACATTGATAGTTTTATCATAAGAAGAGCTAAACAAGAATCCACCTGCAGTGAAATAAAGAATGAAAATAGGCAGTTCTTGAGCCAAACATTACAAAACCACGTGAACAAAAGAAACCAACTAACAAAATAGCAAATGTTTTAAATATAGACATTAATAGTGTTGGATTTTTACCTCCAACGGCTAATCCTCATTACACAATCACGGCAAGCAAGCGGTGTTGATGATTTAAACACTCCGGCAGATGTGGGCCATCAATTCTCGACAAATCAATTCCCCTATTGTTTAAGAAACCATTATTACTTTCATGATCCCGATTCAAATCTGTTGTCATCGCCTCCTCGAGGCTTATTGCGTTTTATCATCGACTCAACAAAGACCAGAGTCGCCGAACATCAACGATAACTCCCCAAGGAGTAAACATCTAAAACTCATATTTTTTGCATAGGAAGTGTTGCTACAGGAGATCTAAACTTCACATCAATCGAAAGCACTTTGACTGCTCCTCTTGTTCCTATTGTCGCTCCGGTGCTCCGCCGCTTTCTGGTCGCTCTAGTTGCTCCTCTGCATGTGTTGTCTCGATAGCACAAGTCCAGTGCTACTTTTGATGGGCTAGACGTCTCAAGTGCACGCAATGAAGCTCGATGCACCTTCCAATCAAGATTACGTGCAAGGAACGAGTGGTGGGAGAAAGCGTAAGCAAAGTCACATTGGTGCTGCTATTGATGGTTTTGTGCAGTTTAAGAAGATGCAAACAAGTAAAACAATGGAAGCACTCAATGAAAAGAAGAAACAAGACGAAGCATTTTCAATCGACAAGTGTCTCGATGAAGTTGATGCAATGGAACTTCTTGATGTGGAGAAGGCGATGCTATGAATATCTTCAAATCTGAGATAGATAGGGAGGTATTCATGAAAATGAAAAACAAAAATGTTCGCTTGATTTGGCTCAAACAGCAGATTAGGTAATAATGCTTAGTCGCCTTTGGATTAGTTTACTTTGGTATGTCTTAGCTGCTAATGCTTTTCCTTGTGCTTACTTGCGATTGCTATATCTGTCAGAGAGGCAATGTTGGTGGAGGCAATGTTTGAATTGAGAAGAAAAATGCAGCTGCAGTCATTGTATGCAGGTATTTCCATCGTTGTGAGCACAGTATATTGCACTGGTTAGGTCAAAATTTTTTATTAGTGTGAGCCTAGAATTTGTCATTTGTCCTTACTTATGTTCTCTACATAACTTGGATTGCTGTTGTCAGGTTAGCTATGTGTTGCTAAATTGAGATTCTATTTTCCTGCTATGAAAGCATAGCTCAGTCCTTGTCAGGTTGTCATGATGATAGCTTTCCTGAGACCTTTCCTACAGGGAGGGTTGAGCACACATTGGTAGACTGGTCAGTGTCTGAGCTGTGTTTCCGATCTTATTTGCAAGTAGCCTCTTTTGTTTATAAAAATAATGCTATAAATATAAGATGCCCATACCACTTCTTCCCTTGGGCTTGCAGATCACTGGCCAGCAGCCATTTGATTAGGCGACGACCACCGCTAACCTTATCAGGCTCCTCTCCTTTCAAGAGGATTGCATGTCTGATCCCCTATCTTGAGGGATCTTAAAAATTCACAAGGCATGACTCATATTACACTTTTCGGATGTCGTGTACATAAAATTTGTTCATAGGGATAGATAACCTTGAGCCATATGAAACTGATGACTACACAATTGTACAACAGCTTGCACTTGCCAATGCTGCATGCCATCAGTACTCTTTGTTGCTGGTATTAGGAAATGGTTTTGGTGTGGTTATCTTTCTGCACTTTGTACAAAACAAAATTCTTAGCATGAACTGACAGCTAGCTGTAAGCATGGTGATAACATGCTTCTTTTACCTATATGCTCGGTATTTTGACCTTATACTGTATGGCCTCACAAGAGTTCTTTTTTTTTGTGTGTTAATTGCAGAGAGTTTGGTGGAGGCAATGCATGATTTGAGACAAGAGAAGTGTGGTCAATTTTGGTAGTGCATGTTGGACATTTCAGGCTTCTATGTATTGGATCAGTTTGGTAGTGGGTTGAATTTGGCACTTGAATTAAATTTTCCATCTATTGGACTGTCAAATAATTTTGGTCTTGTGATTTTCCATGCATTATGATCATGAAAATGATGTGGTTGGTATTGATCTTTGGTGATTTCATTATATTATTTAAGAAATTCAGATTTTTCTTGATTTTTCAAGACACTGTTTTCAATTTTGTTGCCATACTTTGGCAGAAGTACTAGTACTTTGGTAGAAGTGCTGCTGTACTTTGGCTGCAAGACAACAGGTTCGTGTTTTCTCTGCGATAGACATCCTGTTGCCGAAGTTGTGTATTATCAGTTCAGTTCGGTTCAGTAGGCCTGTTGCCATCCAGCACGTCGGCATGTGGACGTTCAGTTCGGCACCAACATGTCGACACGTCGGCAGAATGGTTCAGTTGTCTAGTACTCCTGCGATAATGCTATTCTTGTTTCCCCTGTGCCGTCAACCTGTTTCCAAAGGAAGACGTGGAAAGTTCCCCACTGTGGTTACCAGCCCTGGGAAGAGGCGGGAAGAAGTCCCAAAAAAATCCACGTCAGGGGTAATCATCCCTAGGCTAATTGGCCCCTGCTGCCAAAGTAAGCCTTAGAGATTTTACAAGTGGAAGACATAGGCTTATCTTCGCATATAGGATCATCATTCAGAATCCCACCAGTGGCGATTAATTTGCCAGAGACGTCACGGCCTAGAGCTAGTACCTTGCTGTGGGGCTGAAATTTGAACACATTATTGAATCCTACGGTGCGAAGATCAGAAAATTTCTTGACATTGACAGTAGCAGTGTTGTCTTCTAAATCATATTCTCCCAAAAACCTCACGACAACATGGTCTTCATTGCGCACTTCAATCTATGTGATAAAGCAAAAGAAGAGTAAACATAGTTCACAATTATCATAACTAAAAATAAAAAATTAATAAAGGATGATTAGCAGCACCAATCTTCAAGTTATCATGGTCTTTCCTTTTATCATTTAAAGCTTTAACCAGGCTTGCTGAAGTCATGAACCTTGTAGCATCTCCATCACAATCTATAGCTACGCCTGAGCATGCAAATAGCACCTTGTGCTCTGTACAAGATCATAATTTATATTAATTATAGTTAGCAATGTTTAATATGTCTGGGAAAGAAGAGTACAACAGCACATATAATCACCATCGGCTACAGCAAGTGACACAACACTTTTAGACAAATCTGACGCAACTTCTTCACTCAGTTCACTCCAAACACCTTTATTTGATTCCCGATGCAAGTCACCTAGTTATAGAAACATGATACAACACAAACTATCAGTGACCAGATAGAGCTGTTAGAAACATGAGCACAAAAGAGGAAGGACCACCAGACCTGAGGCCAATAGCTCAGTTGTCTCTCCTTCATTGCAAATTGTTTTGTTCTTTGTTGAGCTTCTTGTGAGGTAAGTTCGTTTATTCTTCTTCGAGCTTCTTGTGAGATGAGTTCTTTCAATCCTCTTTGAGCTTCTTGTGGGAACATCACCACCCCTATTACTTTTCAGCATCTTACAGACACTGAAGCTGGTTTTTTTTTTCCTTTCTAAAGGAAGAGTGCAAATTTTGGGTCAAAACAGTAAAGCGATGCAGTAACACTAACATAAATCCATTAATCAGAAGGTCATAAATACATGTTTTATGTCAAGCCTGATGACTCATAACCTAACATAAGCTTTCCTCCAAGCTCCAATCAACTCTGATAAATGATAAATGTAAAAACAAAAAAAAGGCAAAAGTAAATACGGAGGAGGCGACTGAGGCGACGACGGAGATCGAGGTGGCGGCGACGGCGCGTGCCAGGTCGAGGTAGGGGTTGTGCTGGTCGCGACTCGCGAGCCTCGCCTCGCCTCGAGCGGAACGGGAAGCGGCTCCCGAGCGAGAGGTGCGAGACGCGATCGTGCTGCCAACGTGGGCGGGGATGGATCCTGGAGGACAAATGTGGAAGGTAAGAATAGATGGGCCGTTAAGGCCTGGTTCTAGTTGGGCCGTTAAAAGCCTGGTTGCAGTTGGGCCAACCCGTTAATTCTCATATAAGTAACCTCGAACTCATCCTGGGGCGAAAACCCTAGCTTGCAGCGCCGCCTGGACCGAGCAGCCGAGCGAGCAAGCAAAGACCCCCTTTTCCCCGAGCGCAAGAGCACCATGGCGGCGGCGGCAGTTTATGGCGGCTTCAAGGGGAGGAAGCTTGGCGTCGAGGATGCCCCCGAGCTGCAGCTCAACCGCATCCGCATCACACTCTCATCCAAGAACGTCAAGAACTTGGAGAAAGGTATAACCAAACCTTATGAATTCAGACTCATATTTTCTGATGTGATCTAATATCTTAGCTAGTCTTGCTCGTATGGAGTATATCGTAATGGCGTGTACAAGCTTCCGTTGATGGATGATTCGTATATTGTTTACGACTGTGCTTTAGATCTGCCTGTCGAATTTGTTGCTTTCCGTGCTAGTCTAGAGAACATGTACAAATCTATCTATGAGACAGTTAGTCGCTGGTTACAATTGCTGGGTGTGGGAACCGTTGTATTGTATTAGTTATCTGAACAAAACTACTATGCGCGTTTCGATTTACTGTTTGCCTATGCACAAGCAGTGCAGCGCCTAAGTGCTTTGATTGTTCTGTTGGATGGTATGGAGGGAAGGAATTGGCAACTGAAATTTGCACTCGTCTCCTTTGTATGTACTTTCTTACTATCTTGTATCATTAGGCTGATTAAACTGTATTTAGTCACTTGCTATGATGCAAGCTACACCACTGAATATTGGACTGTCGTTGCAGAGTTACTTTCAATTATCGAACTGACAATTGTCTGGGGATTTCTGGTACATTTCAGTTTGTGCGGATTTGGTGAAGGGAGCCAAGGACAAGCAACTGAGGGTTAAGGGACCCGTCAGGATCCCTACTAAGGTTCTCCACATCACCACCCGCAAGTCCCCTTGCGGTGAAGGTATCGAGCTATTTCCTAGCCTCTGCTGTTGAAATTGTTTGGGTTGGCTTTGGTTAATTTGACTGATTGGGTTTTTTGTGCTTTCATTAATAGGAACACATAATACATTGATACATTCACTAATATAAATAGATGCTTCGGAATTAAAGTGCTCGTAGTTCGCACAATATTATGCTATTGTTGTTTTTATATTTGAATTAATTTGGTGTTTTGAATATCATTTTTCCTAAATAAATTTATCTTTCTATCTTAGTATTGTAACATATAAAGCTAGTATATCTATCCTGTACCCTGGTAGGCGATTTTTGTCATTTCCCTGTTATTATATACTCCCTCTGTTCCTAATTATTGGTCATTTTGGCTTTTCTATAGGTCCGTAGCTTTTGGTATGTGCCTTGATACGCTATATGTCTATGCACCTAGAATCTAGAAAAGCCAAAACGAGCTATAATTTGAAGCAGAGGTCCCAATGCACCTTGTTTTATGTTACCCTGTTTTCTCCGTAGTTATCTTTGTCGAATTGTGGTGGGAATAGGATTCATGCCATCTCAAGTACATTGTAGCCTTGAGTAACTTTAGACTTCATATTCTGGACACTAACACCTAAGCCTGTTTGACACATTTTAGTACGATCTAGTTATTGATGACTTTATCTTCTAGGATGTGGAGAAGAAGCAGTCTAGAAGGGCAGGCCAAGGTTCCTTCTCATTTTTCAAATTCTTGAAAAAACAATTGATTTGAGTGAACAATTTAGTCAAAATAGAGAGTGCTTACATAGATTGCCCAACTTTGCGATTGTCATCAATCTCTGCCACTGCACGTGGAATGTAATGGGATATTGATAGCATATTTTTGTTGTTAAGACATGAATTTGACTGATCGTGTTCTAATCTGTTGGTCAGGAACAAACACATGGGATCGGTTTGAGTTCCGCATCCACAAGAGGGTGATTGACCTAATCAGTTCCCCTGATGTGGTGAAGCAGATCACCTCCATCACCATCGAACCCGGTGTTGAGGTCGAGGTGACCATTGCAGACGTGTAAGGATGTGCTGTTCAGCAATGCCATCAACTATCTATATATCTTTGTGTTGCTTTTGTTTTGTGCTCTTTGTGTGCTTGTAAGAGAAATATCGAGCTATTCTTAGCATATAAGACTTTTCTTTCTCCCCCTATGATCCTATCGTAGCTGTATGTCTGATCTGTGGGCTGTTCAACTTAAAAATTTTGATTCAGTAATCTGGTTTATCAGGGCAACTTGGTTCGCCCCAATTGGATCGCTGTCCATTAACTGGTTATCGAACTTGCTGGTGGCTACTTGGCTAGTTAGTTGCTTCGCGCAACAGGTTTTAAACCTAGATTTCATTTGTTAAAACTATTTTATAGGCATATTGCGCACACACGCAAACTATGCGAGAGTGATCAACTGCAGTAGTTTACAAAGATATATTTTTATAACTTATAACTAGGTTTGCCAAGGTATAATTGATGAAGATTAAAGTTCAATCTATGGTCTGAATGTTTTAAGGGTGAATTTAGTAATGCCAATCATATATCATTAATTATATATGATGTAAGTGTAAAAGGTGACTCCGAACAATTCTAAACAAATTTGCCATCCGACCTAAAATTCATGTCACATTGAATATTTAGATAATAAGAGTATTAAATATAGATTAATTACAAAATCAATTATATAGATGGAGGCTAATCTGCGAGATGATTTTTTAAGCCTAATTAATCTGTCATTAGCATATGTTTACTGTACCACCATGCTGTCAAATTATGGACTAACTGGGCTTAAAAGATTCGTCTCGCAAATAGTTTCGTAATTAATCTATATTTAATACTTCATGTATGTATTCAAACATTCGATGTGACAGAAATTTTAGAACCGTCCCTATATATTGCGGACGCGAATCGTCCGACAGGCGTCGAGAAACAGTGTATGGGCCTGTTCGCTGGTTGGTGCTGGTGCTGGTTTAGGCTGGCTGATGCTGATTTTTTAAGAGAAAAACGCTGGTGGCTGGCTGGTTTGACTGGCTAAAACCAACATGCCAACAGGTGTACCCATTGCGCGACGCCGCGATCCCTCCAGGCAGGCCGCCGGCGCCGTGCCCTTCACGCTGCCGCCGACCACGACAATACAGCCAAAACACAGTGAGGACTGGCATCACATCACGTTGGTCGGGGCCAGCCGTGAGCCGTCTCCGAAACTTGAAGCACCACAATCAATTTTCGCTCTTCCTTATTTTCCTTGAGAAATTACCAGGCAGTTGCGTTACAAGGAGAATAACATCGCGGTGACTTTGATCCAGTACACTGTCAAGGACCAAGGAGATAACTCATACGGAGTAGAGTATAAGTGAAGTGAGTAACAAGCTTCGAGATCGTATACGACCGTCGCTGAAAAAAGAAAAACAAAAAATGAACAGCTGACTTGACTAACAAGGTTCCTGGACCCATCCGGTGTTGTGATCAGAGGAGTTTCGGTGTGGAAGCGTTCAACCCTGCACCGCCACCTGCACTGCACCCCGGTCCCTTGGACCGAAGACGCTGAACTGAACCGATCCCGTTATTACAGCAATTAAATTTTGCAAGGAAATAGTACGAAGGAAATAGTACGTGTAAGGGTCTGTTTGGAAGGCTAGTTTGGATCCAAAACCTTTGTAAATTACAGGTACATAAATTTTTACAGGTGAGTTCACAAAATGCTATTTGGATGAGTGGTGAGCCTATTTTATTTTACCCTTGGTTTGGGCTAAAACCGGTGAAAAATAATTGTCGTGTGAGGAGGTCTGGAAAATATTACGATAACTATCGGGCTCATCCTCTCGATTGATTCCGTGCTCGTTCGAGCGGTGGCGCCATGCGTACGCACCATCCTTGGCGGCGTTCGGTGCTGGATTGATCGGTTGGGACAGCACAACGTCGGTGACTATGATGGCGGGAAATCCATGACATGCGATCCATGATAGGCGAGAGAGGAAGCGTACCGTTCCGACAGTCCAAGATCCGATCCTTTAACCCGTGATGCATATGCAATGCTTGGCGAGAGAGAGGACCGGCGCCGCGCGCAACCCCACCGACCACTCGCGACGATGGCTTGTATAAAACGAAATCTGACCAAACGATAACGATGAACCGAAGACTTTGAGAGCGCCCACAACAACCGAGAACGAAGCGAAATCCCGGAGGCACCTGGTGGGTCTGGTCCACACGAGGCGAGGCCAGGCGAAGCTCACTTGATTTTCAATAGGCGCAAAGCCATTATAAGCCGGTTTATAAGTTATGGTACAAAATTTTTCTCTCTTAATAAATCAGTCGTATAAATCAGCATAAGCGGCTTTACGAGCGGACGAAAGAATAAACAGTTTGTTCGTTTGTTGGTTTCAGCCAGAGTTTATCAGTCAGTCAACGATATTTTTCTCTCACAACAAACCAACATCAGTCGGACTTATCAGCTCAGAAACCAACCAACGAATAGGCCGAAAGAGCAAATTTCGTTGAAACAGGATTTGCTTTTGTGATTTTGGAAGTACTTTATTTAAAGTTTAAAGCTACATTAAACTTTTGTAGACATTTTAAATTCAGGCGATAGGGTTTTGTAGACGTGGTATCCACGTCAAGGTCACTCCTGTATGAAAATAGATAGAAATTGAAGGGAAAATATATATTATATATGTACGGCCAGCATCCGTGGCAATTCGTGGTGCTCCTCATCATATATCATAATATATAATGAGAAAAAAATCTAGATCTAAAACGGGAAGGGAAAATAGAGACGAGAAAAATGCACGGGATTTCTCCCCAAATGTAGCCCCTCCGCGAACCAAAGTCCCCGAAACAGGCCCTTCGAAAGCAAATCGAAACCATCCCCACTCGAAAAAACGGCAGCAGCAAAAGGTCCCGCAAACCCAAGCGCCGCCGCGGACCCAATCGCCCCCAATCCCAGCCCCATACCCGAGCCGAGATCCAGGGAGGCAGGGACCAGCCGCATTGCCGCGGGATCGAGGGGATGGCGCCGCAGCTGACCGGCGCGCCCGGCTCGGCGGCCGCGGCGGGCGGCGCGGCGGCCGTCAAGCCGCAGTTCCACCATTACCACCACCACCGCCTGCCCCCGCGCCACCACCACCCCTCGCCGACCTCGCTCCTCTCCAAGCTCGCCTTCTGGTCCGTCTGCTCCCTCTCCCTCCTCCTCGCCTTCCTCCTCCTCTCCCCCGCGGCGCCCGCCCCGCGGGCCGCGCCCGAGTCCCCGCGCCGCTCCCTCCACGCGTCCCGCTCCTCCACCGCCTCCTGGGGCGGCGCCGCCTGGGAGAAGAAGGTACGGGCGTCGGCGCGGGTCAGGCGCTCCAGGGGCCACTCCGTCCTCGTCACGGGAGCCGCGGGGTTCGTCGGCTGCCACGCCGCCGCCGCGCTTCGCCGCCGAGGGGACGGCGTGCTCGGCCTCGATAACTTCAACGACTACTACGACACGGCCCTCAAGCACGGCCGCGCCGCGCTCCTCGCCCGCTCCGGGGTCTACGTCGTCGACGGCGACATCGCCGACGCCGAGCTCCTCGCCAAGCTGTTCGACGTCGTGCCCTTCACACACGTCCTCCACCTCGCCGCGCAAGCCGGCGTGCGGCACGCGCTCGTGGACCCCATGTCTTATGTGCGCGCCAACGTTGCCGGTCTCGTGGCGCTGCTCGAGGCGGCGCGCGCGGCCAACCCTCAGCCCGCCATCGTCTGGGCGTCGTCGTCTTCAGTGTACGGGCTCAACTCCCATGTGCCTTTCTCCGAGCATGACAGGACGGATCGACCAGCCTCTCTCTATGCAGCCACCAAAAAGGCCGGCGAGGAGATCGCTCATGTCTACAACCACATTTATGGTCTGTCACTCACCGCCCTCAGATTCTTCACTGTCTATGGGCCATGGGGGCGTCCGGACATGGCATACTTCTTCTTCACCAGGGACATCCTTGCTGGTCGGCCAATTACGGTCTATGAGAGTGCCGGTGGAGGTTCACACCAGACTACCATCTCCCGGGATTTCACCTACATTGATGACATTGTGAAGGGGTGTGTAGCGGCATTGGATACAGCTGGTCGGAGCACAGGCAGTGGAGGCAAGAAGCGAGGTACGGCACCGTTCAGGACATACAATTTGGGCAACACTTCACCTGTGCCTGTTACACAGCTAGTGGATTTGCTGGAGAAACTGCTCAAAGTGAAGGCTGTGAGGAAGGTTGTTAAGATGCCAAGGAATGGAGATGTGCCATACACGCATGCTAATGTAAGCCTTGCGCAGCGGGAGCTCGGTTACCGGCCATCCACAGATCTGCAAACAGGGCTCAAGAAGTTTGTGCGGTGGTATCTTGAGTACTACCATCCTGAGCTGGCTGAGAAGCAGAAGCTGCATACCAGTAGCAATGGCAAGGGTTCACGTGGTTGGAATGGCAGCTCAAGTAGCGCAAGATGACTGTCTATTCAGTGTCTTTGTGGCCTCTCCTGACGGTGTGTATCAGAATTCTACCTCCATTCCTAATTCATCAGATTGAGAGGCTCATTTTGCTCAGCAAATTGTGAAAGTGGAACAGAAGTTAAGAAACACTCACTAGGTAGCCATCATAATTCAAAAGCCTGATGCTTCTCTTTGCTACCTCGTAGCTAAGCATTTAATTCCGAGTTCCATTAGTTGGTTCTTAGGATGACACTGTTCTGAAGATTTTTCATGTCATGGGTTTTGGGGGATGGCACTCTGTTGCGTAGACTACCATAGATTCTTTTAGTGACTTTTTGTACCACGGAAGAGAACTAAGTATATCATGACTTGCTTTTGTTCAATTGAAGTTGAAGTGGCGATGATCAGCAATTTGTCTATGCTTCTTGTTTTGCTGACGTGCATACTCTTTATCTGTAGATATGGGTGCTACATATGCTCACTTGCTCAGTAGCTGCGTTGCAAACTTATTTTCACCATAAGAATCTTAAGGTCTTATGTGTACATTTTGGGACTTGGGTATGGAATTTTATGTCATGAAGTGTGTTTTCAGGTCATACAATGATAAACCATTTGGTTATTGTGGTCTTTTTCAATGCATTATTTTTCTTGTTAGTCACAGTTAACATTGCTAGAGTTATTTAAGATTTGTGACAGTGTTAGAAATTCTCTTATTTGTAGTTAGCACTTCATTGGTGTGAATGGTATCACACGAAATTTTGAGGCAATCAAATGATATATGGATTAGTTTAAGTACTACAATTATCTTTCAATACCTGTCTGATTACAGATATGATGCCAAATGAAACAATGCTTCTTGTTGATTGTTGAGGCACTTGTAGTTGTTCACGTGTTTTGTCAAGATACTCTATTGACCCCTTTATTGGTATTATATGTGGCATTTTATTGATTAAATGTTCACTCATGATGAAGCATGTTGATAATTCTGCAATTTCATAATTGTGGTTGCACTATAACTGTAGTTTTTTCCCCCCCGATCTACATGATTGTTGGCTTCAATCTTTATGATTTTCCTAAAAACTGGTTTTTGTGAATTGTGATTGTACTGATGCTTCTAAGTAAAGGAAAAATCCATTATGGGACTCTTTTGTTGCCTGCATTAGCATGTATCTAGGCTTCTGCAGCGCACTTTGCCTGTGTTTGGTTGTTCGTGGAAATTTTTATGCAGGCTTAAACAATGTTCAAATCATGGCTAGTACATTGAATTAGGAGATGTAGATTTACACAAGCTGATGGACACACACAAAAATAAAAAGAAATATTCTCACCTCTTTTTACCTTTATTTTTGAAAGGCACCTCTTTCTACCTTTACTAGAAACATAAGGTCTCTACTAAAACATGGATGTGACTGCATATAACAAAATGTTAGCAACCAAACACAATTTTACCAAATGTTTGTGTAGGGTAACTAAACGCTAAGATATCGTATACGATTATTCTGACTTAGATTGTGCTGCATAAGGTCTAGTTCAAGCAAAAAGTCAATGTAAGCAATCAATTACACCCTATGTTAAGGATTCCTTTCGCGTGCATGTTAGGTTAATCGGGGTTTTCACAGTATTAATGGATGTCGAACAGCTTTCCTAGTGTGCCGAATGCTGCATCATTTGGCCTTCCTGGAAACAAATCAAACGGCATTTCTAGCAACTAAGAATCAGCAGGAGTGAATCCAAACAGACCGATGCATAAAGTTGTGCTATCTATTAGTAAAAAATGTTAAGACAGGTTGTTAGCAACCACTAAGAATTAGCATGCTAAAATGTGCGGGTCCAAAATTAGAATGTGTGCGAACATCGTCAGTTCGTCATCAATGCAAAGTTCCACCTTGACTAGTTGGCCAAGAGAATAGAGACTGCTTACTAATACTCCTTTTGCTTGTGCATCCTTCCTTCTGTTTCCGTGCGTTCGCCCTCTTACATTGGATTGTGATTGACATGCATGTGCTCTCTTATTGCCAGCCACGAGTTCTATGCCCGCCGCCACCCCCCCCCCCCAGTCATCTACCACTTCGTTCAAATGGCTTCGCTCCGCTCTGGAATTCAAATTTGCCGCTATGATTACCATCCTGATGTAAGGAAGCAAGCGGCACTGATACCACCTTCAGTTCTGAGTTCCAGTGCCTATTGCCCATGCCCGTCTCCCTGTTTCTGTACATGGTGGACACGTGACAGGTGTTTGATATTACAATGCTACTCGGTTGTTTACTTTAGATGCGTGGCGGATGGTTCCATCAGGTCACCAAAGAGACAGCTGGTGATCGAGGGACGGAGAGAGACGACGTCGGGTGTCGGCACTCGGGAACAACTGGAAGATGTGTTCACTGATCCCTGACGTTTACTGATGTTTCTGAAAACAGTACGATCCCCACCCACGTCTTGTTTAGATAGCTATTAGGAATCAGTATTCGGTACTGTAGCACTTTCGTTTGTGTTTGACAATTATTGTCTAATCATGGCTTAACTAAGCTCAAAAGATTCGTTTCGTAATTTACAATTAAACTATATAATTAGTTATTTTTTTATCTACATTTAATACTCCATATATATGTTAAAGATTTGATGTGACGGAGAGAGAGTGAAAAACTTAAGACTAAACAAGGCCGCAGACAGTGGCACCAAGGCACCCACTAGCTTGGGCCTCGTGCAGTTGTGCTTCGTGGGCTGCCCCAGTCCCCAGCGGCCTGCCTAACATTAGCCGCGGATTTCTGTCACTCGCAGCGGCTGCGATTGTTAAAAAGGTTGAGGCTGATAAATTTAAGCGAACAGTTCTGTTTGGCTGCCCACGTCATGTGACCCCCGGCCACGCCGATGGGATAGGGGATGGACATGGACATGGACAGCGGAAGAACTCGATGCGCCCACCGCGCACGACGCCGTGCCCGCTGCCGAACGGTACAGGCCGCGCGGATTACCCAGTAGCTGGACAAACTGTCTCCCGTTCCTTCACAGGTTTCTATTAGCTCGAATGCTCATTTTCTCCACTGTTTCGAGGTACGGTTGTGAGGTCACGCCTCCTCGTATGGCCGTTTTGAACGAGTTGGATGCCCACATGATATCTGACCCACACACGTAACCCCGGCCGATGAAAGGGCCGAACAAGTTGGTGTAAGCTGGCAAGCTTCAACTGCGAGACACGCCTAGCTTCTTTTCCGCTTTTGTTTAGCGGAAGTAATTAAATCAGTGTCGGTAGCAAATGGAGGAATCCTTACAGCTAGCTTAGCTACCAGAGCGTAACTTCGCACAAGGCGCACGCGGCTTCGGCGAAAGGCTAAAAGGCGTCCATTGGACCAGCAGAGAGACTGAGAGAGATTAAAAAAAAACACTCCCGGCACCCGCCGCCACCAGGCTTTGCGCCTCCCGTGCGGTAGCAAAGGATTCGCGGAATTTGCGTGAGCGCCGTGCCGTGCGTAACACCAACCGCGCGCACCAGCGGGCGATGCGCTGTGCTTGCGCCTTCCCAAATTAAGGCCTGCTCCGATGCAGCCTGTTCGTCTCGACCGAAACGATCATGGATTATTACTGCTGACTGATTTGGTGTAAGAGTAAAATACTGTTCTGACTTATAATCCACGATCGTTTACGACAAACGAACAGGCCGATGATTGGTGCCGCCACGCGCGGGCACCATCGCCGTTAATTACTGTGGTCCTCTGAATCATTGCAACGGAACCTAACGTTCATTAAGCAGAGTGCAGACTGCAGATCGCTCGAACAGCTAGGTGATGGATGTTGTTAGGTTTCTGCCTTCCGCTCTGCAGCAGTGCACCGCCGATGGATGTGCCGTGCCGGCGACACCGCACAAACCGCGTCGCCGACGCACCGCCCGACAAACGGGACGGGAGGAAGGGCGGCAGCGGTGATGCGTTGTTCATTGGCGAGCCACACACCCACACAGGATGACGAGGAGGTGGCCGTGACAGGAGAGGAGACGTGAACTGATCGATGGGCTGCCTCCGAGGGCGACGGGTGACCGCGGAAAACGAATTTCTTTCGGAGGGTGAAACTGGCTGGAGGTTTTCCAATAAGCTACTCCTCGTACACCGTATGCACAGCCGGTCCACTGGTCGAGGTGCTGCCAACGTTGCAAATCCCCTAGAAGCTGCTGCTGCAGCTTTTCTCTCTGCCGGATGAAAATTAAAGGTACTAAAACAAAACGCTCTTCCGTATTTTGGTTGGAAAATTTTGAACTTCCTTATCTATCATTAACTTGAAAATTCTTTCTATATATGGCACTTCCATCCATTTTGACTATCCATCTGTTTGTTGAATTCCTTGGCCATGTCAGTTTTTCTTGATAAGTACCAAAATACCCCTCTATTTAATTTGGTCGCACACACCTGCTCGGTAGTCGCTACGGGCGAAACTCGTACGCTCGCTCCCCTTCTTCCCCGTCAGTCTTCTCTTCCTGTGAAAAAAAGCAAAACCCTAGATGGAAGCTAGAGGAGATGAGGATGGGGCGGAGGAGCCGTTGGCCGCCGGCGCCCAGGAAATCACGACGCCCTTCCTTCAGCTAGAGGCGTCGGTCCCTCAGTCGAGGTCTCCCCATGGTGGTAGATCGACGAGCGGGTCCAGCAAGGGTCGCGGCAGCGGGGCAGGCCGAGCTTCTGGCAGGGGACGCGGCTGCGGGGCGGGCTCGCTGGTTGGCGCTGGCCCCATCTCGCGAGCCGGGGGCGCGGCGGGGCGAGGTCCTCGCTTAGAGGCCGTGGAGCGGCCTCCCCTGGCGATGGTCCCAGTGGAGCAGCAGCAACAACACCGACTTCGGACAGTGGCGCAGCAACACCAGCAGAGCATGAATGGTCACAAGGGTGAGTTCATCTTATCCTCTTAATCTCCAGTACAATCCAGTAGCAATAGTTGTACCATATAAATGCTCATGTAGTAGTTGTTTGGACATACAGAATGGATACGGATACAAGTTACTTGCTCAAAATTCACCTTCTTGGCAATCCAAAGAAAAG